AAATTGTATTGCAAACACACGCATACATCACACAACACAAGGGAAAAATAATAAAACAAGCAGTTTCAAAAGAAATGATAATAATAAACTTTGAAATAATCAAGCTTATTCATTGGTTTGTACAATCAATGTGTGATGAGGTGGAAAAAAAAATCCACTCACATAGATAAATAAATTAACAATAACAGTTATGATCAGGGAGAAAACTTTAAAAAACTAAGTACTACAAAGGGAGAATAATAAATTGATATTGTTGAAAATACAGTGGTTCGAAGCTAATGTAAAGGGGATAAAAACGTCTAGAAAAGCATGAGATGTTGGCAAATAAATAAAGTAGGGCAAGAAGAAGAACAGAATAATGGTTTTTTTTCTTTACACATTGAAACTTGAATTCATCACATAACTTGGCACATAGAACAGTAGTGCAGTAGTATATTGTCATAAACGAAACAATGTAACAATATAATAGGAAATTGGGCCCATCAGGGAGTTTTTATTTCGACTCTTCTCTGGAAACATATATATATTTCATTGAGATATAAGTTGAAGCAGACAAGATTATTGATGATTCTAAAAATTATAAGAGGAACAATTAGTCATCAAAAAAATTTCAGTGATTTCTACTTGAAAATTATTATTCGAGATGACAACTTGGTAGGGTATACTATAGCAACATAAATGGAATAAACTAACTTATTTCATGATACTTATGAAATATGTTCAATGCTTATAAATGTTTTTAGTATATTTCTTTCTTTCTATATAATTTTAAATACAAATATGTATATATAGTGAAGTTTATGATTTCTCAATTAACTAGAAACGTTCGAAGTGAAAATATCTGATGTTTAAGTCAATAAAATAGAAAACGCTGTAACTGTGCCAGACAGAATAATGTACACATTCTCTTCATAACTGAAGTGGGAATAGACGACTAAGCATGTATTAAGTAATTCTCTCTCTTCCTTTTGTCAATCAGAGTTATACATTAACACCGTTGGGTGCCGGCCCAATGATCCTGAGGCGCAGGAGTCGTGGATGCGCACTGCCGATGAGTCCCATATCAGGACGAAACGGCCGTTCAGTGCTTCCAGGGTTCTAATAGAGGTCTTACAATGATTAATTGACAATTTCAGACGTGCAATAAACACTAATCTCCACAACTCTAGTTGATATACATATATAAACACAAATTTATATTTTTTGTTGATGGCACAGCATTAACATATAACACCGAATTCATTCTAGACAATTTTAATAATAATTATAAACATTGATTTAAACTTACGTAAATATCAATTCAACTGTATATGTGCATGAATAGATAATTCATTAAAGAATTTTAAAAAAATTGGAGAGATCTGTTTCACACAAATAACTATCATGAATGGAATATAATTTTGAAAAGTATCTCCAGCGAAATTAGAAAGTATACACACATAGTTACTGCCGTAACTGCATAATAAATATAAAGTGATAATTGGGAATCGGTGTGTTTTTTATACATTTTGAAAATAAAATTTATCAATGACGAAAGTTGACTGTTATGATAATAATAATAACAGTCAAAAGAACACAACTGTAATTGAATGAAACAAGTTTCATTGTATTTAGAACCTGAAATGCATACATAAATAATAATTAAAAAAAACATTTAGTTATTATCTAAAAAATTTGAATAAGTATTATTGAAAAATTAATGAAAATATTAACATACAACACCATTCAACACATTGTATTAGTGTCTAAAATAAAACAAACGCAAACTGATTTACACACATTTGGCTTTACATAACATTAAAGTTGGATGCAGAAAAAAAAGAAAACGGGAAGACTTAACGAAGATAGGAAAGGTTAGATAAAACGTCTTTTTTAATCGATTTAAGGAGTGGAAATTAATTCTAATCAATGAAGAGGCTGGTATAATTGTGTTACCTCAATTCTATATATTAATTAGATCAGTACAAGATGAATACTGAGGAAGTCAAAATAATATTATTACTAATAGGCAGCAAAACTATGAAGTGAAAACATAGTTGGGTGAATGAAATAAAGGGATGTATAAAGAATAAAGGGAAATAAATTAAAATGAAGCTATATTGGACAGGACATACATTGTGAAAACCACCTAACTTCATCACAAGGTAAGCTCTGACTTGGAATCTTCAGGGCCAAAGGAAGATTGGCAGATCAAAGACCACACTACCTAGAGAAATAGAGGTATACATCAACAGAATGAATAGCGCTTCAGAACAACTGGAAGGGAGAGTCCAGGATAGATTTGGAGAATCTTGGTCGACGACCTATTCCACACGAGGGTTAACAGGCGCAATTAAGTAAATAAGTAATGCTGTGATTGATTGTAAGCTATGTGAATCAACGGCTTTAACAAATGAAGGAAAAGACCCTAACCACATAGTTTGGGGCTGCGAACAAAGCTCACTGAAGTAGCTAGTGATTCCATAATCTGATCCAATGGGTTTGCTTTCCATTGTTTCTTTTTTCAAATCAGTCATGCCTAAGTTAACACTACATGCCAAAGAAAGTGTTAATTTCATTAAATCGGTGGATATGAGTTTAAAGTAAATCGGGAGAAATACGAAATTTCTGGTATTAACGTGCCGAGCAGAAAAAAAGTAAGTTATTGTGATACTTTAATTTTTTTTATCTCTGACTAAATATTTATTATATTTGCCAGTTATACTGTCAGAGTCCAATATTCTATATTTAGATACGTTCGGAATTTCCAAGATGAACCATCGCATTTCGAAATTGGTTGTCATGGTTAAGTGACATGAGTATTTTGTGAAACGCGTATATCATGACATCGTCGAATTATTCTTTTATTTAACTGGACCTGTCAACAACAACCTACTGTGTGGAACAATAAACCAGAACCCAGCTGAGCAGGAAATTCGAAAAAAACGCTGGATGTGGATACGGTACGCATTGCGCATATCTCCCGACCGTATCACGAGGTAAGCTCTAACAAGGAACCAACGAGGTCGAGGGAAAAGTGGTATACTAAGGTACACACCGCAAAAAGAATAAGAGACACATAGAGAAGGAATGAACAGCATTTGGTTAGAAACGGAAAGGAAAGCCTAGGGCAGAGTATGTTGGAGAATGCTCGTTGGCGTCCTATGCTTCATTGGGGATAACAGAAGTAAGCAAGTAGTTACTCTTATAACAAGTTGACATGGTCATGGTTTCTTCGGAATAGATAAGCTAATCAACACAACGAGAACAAGAGATGGCATGCCTAATTTTATGTGAAAATCGCGGGCAAACGAGAAATACAAAAAATTCTCCTTTTCTGGTTAAATAATTATAGATTTCTATGATAAGCATACGTTCATATTTATTCTTTTGATTATCAGTAAAGAGTTACTTTGGAGGTAATCGATCTCTTTGGAAAAGGAAAACGCGTGCGTTATCCATCTAACTGGAACCAGAACTAAGGTTATGAAACTTGAGTTTGCGGATTTTTTCAACAAGTTACTCTTATAAGCATCATTCACAGTAATATGCTGGTGGAATCCCTATTCCTTTCATCCAGAAGATCCAGGGGAGTTCTCAAGAGACAAACTATTTTGTTGCACTATTTCTTTTGCTACGATCGTGTGCGCAGACAATGTCCTGAACGTTAATTTATCAGCTGTTCCCCCAAAGCAGTGAATCAGGTATCAGAGAGTATAAAAGATAGCATACATTCGATGATGGAATCGATAACAGAGATCGGCAACCATTTGAATTTAGATCAGTCATACAGAAATTACAGATCTCCCTGAAATACTGCTTTTTCCAATCTTAAGTGCTTGTTTTGAAGTTTCACTAGTAACGGTAGAATCTCAATTCATATATCCACAGGATATAACATATATACACTTGCATTGTACTGTATGTCCAGCCAACAGGGTTTATCTCAAGCCTTCGGAAAAATTGACTAATCCATTCTGCCCGAGTTACTATTCCCTCTTCTTTTGGCCTTGCCAACTATTCGCTTTTATCTCGACTGTTACTATTCGAGTTTGTGTGTGCACCGCTTGCTTAGCTTATTATATGTCTAGTTTAATTTGTCTGACTTTATATACTGAGCCATGTTTTACTGTATGAAGTTGGCTGGCTCGCCTCCGCTTTGCTTGTATGCTTTTTAATCTAGCCTGTCTGCTTGAATGAATGCACGAACGATTGCTTAAAATGAACTCATCCAACTGAATCCGTATTTAGCTTCCGGTAACCACCATCGCACAAACGGGGTTCGCCTAAGTACGATATAAGGAAACTGAAGGGGAGATTTCTTTCATAGCATAACCTCTTTCAGAGGTTATGCTTCTGTCAGTCTATTGAAAAAATCGCTCTATTTGTATTTATGACTGTGGGATATCGACTTTAAATGTAAAAAAAAATGTGTAATTTACTAGATTTTGAACATGGATATCTTCCACAAATGAATTGAAATCGTTAAATCAGTAATGTTGAGATTGGGTGTTCAGGTGATGAAACGATAAATCGCTTGACATAGATTGAATCTACTAGACTCGAATAGTGTGATTTCGTTAGTGTTCAGTGTTTATGCATCGTCTCAGTGAAACACATAATCATTGGGAGTTTGTAAACGCTTAATATTATCATACTAAAGTATTGATCTTTTAAAACCACGTGAGATTCTATATTCAACAATAGAAAAGGTCAATTTGTAGTAGAAATCATGCATTAAATGTTAAAATAGAAGAAAGAAAGAGAGGAAGAAGAAATATACTGAAGTAACCATATTTAAGCGTGGGACAATTAAATTATGCATGAAATTTCAAACTTTTACAACATGCCTCTTAAGTATGAAATTTTTTCTAAACACAAAAAAAAGTAAGCAAATAAGCATCACAGAAGACAACAGCATCATCATTTGTGAAAATACATGCAAACAAAGTTTTTTTTTCACAACAATAGAACGATGATGTGAATTGATTTTCAGCTTACCCCTTACCAATCGATCTATTTTATTCAAGATGAACAGAATTGCTCGAATCTACAATAATGAAGCAGTAAGTAATATAATGAACATTTGTTTTCAGTGAATGTATTGGAATTACAGATCTAATAACCGACAAATTCTATGGTTTAGACTTTTGATAGCACAAGATAATAGATAGTGAAGACTTTTTTGAAGAAATTATCACTTAATTTGTAAACTTTCAAACAAATAAAATTTTAAAAAAAACTATTGAAAGATTCTCGCTCAGTTACAAGAATGATAATTAGTCACAGCAACAAAGATAGAATCTTACAAATCAAAAAATTTGTTCTGAATTTGGACGTCTGTCATTAGAACTGTACCATTCGGGTAGTATAGTTACGGATATGTATGGCCGAAGAGTTTTATACTAGAACAAAACAACTGCTATTGATTTTCTATGGCGTTTTAACTAGACTTAGTCAATAAATTAAAATTGGAAATTAAACAATCTTTGCAACCTTTTATATTATTAAAAAAAAACTTAGTATGTTTTTTTTACTAAACTGAGAGAATTATAATTGTATGCATATCAATAATTAGTGCAGTGAATAAATGTCAAATTCTACGATAAGTAGATGAGTGTGTGTGTATAACATAATTTCTAACTAGGAAATAGGAAAATAGTGAAGAATTGAAAAATAGCTAATTCATATCAAAATGTAGTGATAAACAGTTAGCTTACTTTCATCTTTAAATTCACTATTAATCACATCTCCTAATGTATCAGTTGTAATAGGAGTAGGATGAATTGAAGTTGAAGTATTATTGGAATTTTGTGACTGAACAATTAATTCTGTAGATAATTCATGTTGAGGTTTCAACGATGTCACTACAAATGACTCTGAACATTCTATTCTAGCTTCAAATAAACGTTGTTCTGCATGTACACGTTGTGCTACAGTATTCTCCAGTACACGTCTACTTTCTGCAACACGAACACCAAGTTTACGTGCTTCTGTTTTATATTCCTCTAAACATCCTTGACTTAAATGACGTAAATCTAAATTATATAGTGTTCAATTGAAAACAAAGAAAAGTGTCAGCAAATTTTCATTAAATTATTACATACATATACAAATTATTAATCATATATTTTATGTTGAATATGGCTTAAGTTTACTTACAACATGAAAAAATACACGCTTTTAGAGAAGTGGAAACAATTCATTTTTTTTTCAATAAGTCCGATAGTCAAACGTTGTATAACACATTGAGAGAGAATAGAAATCAGTGAAGAAGTACTAATTTATCCCTGTAGGGACCCATTTAGTAGCACTGAATTCCACCACGGTAAATTAAACACCTTCTGTTTATATTTTTCTGATATTACAAACAAGTTCAATGCAGAGGAGTGATCAAATAGGTGGGAATTATACTACTGCTTATGTCACTGCAACATTTTCTATACAAATTAATAAAATATAGACATGGAACAGTATATGAACAAAAATGGGTAAAACTTACTATCCAGTTTAGTTCCGAACCCAGGAGGAGTCTGAAGTGGTCGTCTATGTAATCAGGATTGACACAAAGAGAAAAAAGAACAACGGAATGCTAAGAATCATATTATACGATAGATGTAGATTTCGTTTAGTATTGAATATTAGTTAAAAATACAATTGATGTCAATGTATAAACAAAACAGAATAAATCAGATACGTAATTCGTTACAATGGTATATTCAACATAGTAGTGACATTAGTGCCAACGATTATAGTTTTTAAAAGCTATGATCAGATGAGCTTGTTACAAAAATCTGTTTAGTCGTAACAAATCACCATTTCTTTATTCGAGTCAAATAGTAAAAATCAACAAAAGATGGAGGTTTTGTACAAGCGAAGGCTTGTTTCGATTATACAATTAGCTGCAGGATTTCAATTCATGAGATCAAAATGTCCCATTCAAAGAAGTTATTTCACTGATTTATCTTTGGTAACATCGGTGATTTTCACACAGGTTCAAAATAGAACGTTCGATAGCCGACACAACTGCTCTGGTATGCATTGATTACACGCGTCAACTCTCACAGAAAAAACAGGTGCCTAATATTTTGCCAATCATTCTCAATAATATAAAATCAAAATGGAATGCATTAATATTATCAAAGTCACTTAGACGAGTTAGCTGCATTGCAGCTTGATTGATTTTATTCAGCAATTAAAAAACTAATCAACATGCAAATCAATCACTACAACAGCCACTATCACGACTAATACTAAGTGAACAAGTCAGTCAGTCAGTTGCAACGTAGAACTTCGTACGTATGTACATCAGTTCATGTTGCCGTACCACAGCACAGAGACGCAAATGTCAAATCGAATCCCATAGTGATAAAGATAGTAGAGGTATTAATGGTAATGAAAAAGACTAGGGTTTGAAGATATTATTCAAGAAGTATAATTCAGTGAGATAAGGTTAGAAAGACAAAGGAAGAGGTGCTGACGATTCCAGAAGATTAGGATTTGAGAGCTTAAGGAATGGATGCACTTGCGTCATTGCAAACGATTTTGACCCATGTCGTTCAAGGTCTCTAACCTTCGGTGACTTTCGTCTCGCGGACCCCAACCAGGTAGTCTACATCTACCAACATGACTCAGTCCACTTGTCAGTGACTTCATGGATTTCTGCCATGTTTTGGTCTGGCCGCCTCTAGCTTTCTTCCAACCTACTCCTATATCACAAAACATAGCTCGTCGAGGCAGTCGGTGGTTAGGCATTCGTAACACGTCCCAACCACCTTAACTGATGAAGTTTCAATACTTCATACTAAGTGAACAAAATTAGATTAAAATCATAAACATACTTATTAGACAAACTTGAACTTGATTAATTAGAAATAAATATACTAAGTAGGATACAACTTCAAATAATAATAAACAAAACACACATCGCAAACATAAATAACGATAATACACTTATTTAAATTTATAAAAAAATAACTGATAGTAGAAGTGTAAGAATAATACATTTTAATTTAGCTTAATTAATTACATGATATCGAAATGGGATTTATATATATCACTAAATATCCCATTGAAATCAATAAGTTATAACTTAGAGTGCATAGTACTGTTAGATGAGAAAGAATCGGAAACAATAGAAAATTTATGGAAGTGAATTGAACACAACTATATTCACTCAAGTCATATAACCTAACCACTTTAACTTTCAGAAAATACACAAATATCAGGGATATTTCCATATTTTGAGAGAAAAACAAAACGAATTAATTACTAATGCTAATGTAACTAGTATACTTATTAGTCATTTAAAATCAATAATAAGAAAGTTTGAACAGTGAGAATATGATTAGAGAGGATGAATTGGAAAGGTAAGTCTAAAGGACTATTAGAACTGAAGATCAAGAGTAAGATAAAAAGTGAATGCATATGTCTGATGTCGAGCCACGTAAGTCAAAGTCTTCTAACACAGTTATCACGTGGGCTGCAACCAGACAGTTCCGGTTCAATAACCAGTGGTTTTATGAAATAATAACAAGTATTGATTTAGCCGCCCTTAGTTTCTTTTTTCTTCAATCAAAATTAGATGTTAGAGTGGTTAGTAATTAGGCATACGTCCTCGGCCGAAGAAGATTAATAGTCTGGTCAACAGATTTACCATCTTTAATTAGTGTCTCAGGTTCAAACCAGTAAATATTCACAGTTATTGCAGGATATGTTAATACTACTTCGAAAAAACCTATGATCAAAGCTTAGTACGGTAAGAATGTCGTTACTTTCACAGACTAGGTTTCACAAACAAAGAAATACAGTGTAAACTGTTGAGCAGTATAGTAACCTTTTGATTGGTAGATAAACCTCTTGAACGTGTGAATGAGTGAGTTAAAACGTAGAACTTGGTACGTACGTACATATCTTGAACACACTACAAGTGACGAAACCGTAGTAAAATCCAAGGTAGCTTTCTGAATCGCTTCAGATATTTTCTGAGACATCATAACATAAGAGCTGATGAAACTTTCAAGATAAGTGAAATAATCTATCTAGTACAGATAAGCAAGCACAACTTTAAGTAACTTTTATATTGTGCATGAAGGTGAATAATATTATACCTATACTAAAGATGAAAAGTAGCTTCGACCTGACATCCAACAGTTAAAAATTCAGTGTTACAATCGCTATTATATAATTAATCAGACAAATCCACTATTTTTTTATTGAATAATGAATCTCATAGAGAATGGAAACAGAAAGATATAACTGTTTATATTATTATTATTAAATCAAATTGTATAAAGTACATACTATATAAATGATGAATTTTAAAGAATATTCACCATGTAAACTTACAAGTTTGAACTACTAGTGACACTTGATAACTTTTGTTCAGTTAGTTTTTGTTCTACATCTGATGCAATTGTTTGATCTTCAGTGAAATCTGATTTAATTTTCAATGTGGATAGAGTTTCTGTTGTTGTAGTCAACTCATTAATTAGGCCACCAGATGGTATTCTGGAAATACTTGTTACTGGAGATGACCAATTACTAGTCGGTATTGAAGTGAAACGAGGTCTAGACATAATTATATCAGAAGGTCGATCAGATTCTGGTCCAGGTATTTCAGCTGTTTCTAAATCCATATCAGATGGTGGAGGTGGTAAACTTGCAGCAGCAGTTAATAATTCAGCGACCAACGGTTGAACATCACCTTGAAGGATTTAAAAAAAACGAAAATGACATGTACATGTGGTTGTTAGATTTGAGAGAAGAAAAAAGCATTTATCACACATGTGAAATGTGAAAATTTAATATTAAACATTTTAAAGTTCGTGTAAAAGGTAGGTTACAAACGCAGAACATAAACTAGATGAACTAAAGTGTATAAAAAAAGTATACACCCATACATCCGTTCGACAGACAGAAATTAGAAAATAGGTATTCTAATGAAACGATTCTGGAAAAACAAACAAGATTTCATGATTAAAGTCAAAAACTATAAAGAATACTCAAATTACTCACTATTAGTGACAAAGACTTAAATATTTTAGTAAAAACCATGTACAAAAGGTAATGGTATGCATGGTGTATATGATGAATAATGAATGCTATTTCATTAACGATATTTAAAACTGAACATAAAAACAATTATTAGCTATCTCATACAAAATGTCATATGACTATGATTTTATCTTCAAAATATGTTCATATTTTATAAGTTGCTTCATTTTTTATTACTTCAGTCATATATATATATATATATATATATATATATATATATATATATATATATATATATTCATTTTAAATATTTTTACTGTACTGTACATAGTGTATTTTTTAAAAACAAAACGGAAAATATATTTTGTCTGGCTAAAAAAGGATTCAAATGTGATTAAATAATGTAGTGGACAAAAAAAACTTGCCAGCTACAACAATCAGTCATTGACACAACACTAAACCTGAGACAATTGTTCATTGATTAGAGTTGTCCCATTATATCAGTGCAAGACTAAATTATCAAGATGAATCCCAGATTAGTAGAAATAGTAAAGGCACCAACAGTGGTGGTACGAGTAGACAAGCTAATTCGTGAAAGAATGAATTTGTTGAATAGAAAAGTATGAGCATTTAAAGATAAAGTGCTAATGCGTTTGCCCTACAGCGACTGATTCTGAACAATATCATCTAACGCCTCAAAACATTAGTTTACAGCAATCATGCGGACATCAATTAGGCAGTCCGTGCCAACTTACACAGTTGTCAAACAATTTCTAACTTTACGAATCGATGCTAAATCTTGGTTTAGTTGTCTCCAGGCTTTCTTTCAACTTACTTCTACGATTACAAAAATAAAACATTTATAACTTTTCATTATCGTTTTCTTTTCAATACCTTCTAATCTTCCTGGTTGTTGAATTGAATCTTCAGAATCCATAGTTGAATTATCACATATCGCAGAATTATTCTTATTATTAACGTCAATTTCAGGGGTTAAATCTTCTGTTGAATCTGGTGGAACAGAACAACCACTTTCTAAGCCTAAATCTGGTGAAAATATCCATGCATGATATTTAATCACAGTTTCGACAAGCTGTAAAGAAAATAAACAAAAGTTCATATAAATCATTAACAACAGTAAAATAACGAACATTTTGTTGTAATGATAATAAAGTTAGGGTATTATTTTGGTTAACTATCGAAACTCATCAACAAGTGCACGAATGTATCAGGTTTTATGTTAGTACGTTGTCATTCTCTCTTTTGTTTGATCCTTTCCTACGTATCTGTAATTGTTTGGTAATTCATTCTATCCTACTACCCCGACCGTAGTTGCTACCTTGTCGTGATGATCCAACCGAGCTACATTGGCTGGAACATATGTTCCTGAAGGTTCTGCCACGCCAGACAGGTCGATTGGAGAACGATGAGACTAAAAGCAGCTACTCAAGGTCTGAGGGCGAAGTCATACTGCTGACTGCAGAGGGGTGTGACAGCAGTAATGTGTTTCCCCTGGATAACCAGAATATGCAGCGATGCTGCCTTCTCACAAGGAAGGAAGGGGTTAGGAAAGGTCGACCCCAAAATTTCACACCTCATCCCACCCCAAAGATGTCCGTAAGGGCTGCCCACTAGGGGCTTTTAAGAGCGGAGCTAATACTCAAAAAACCTTTCATAAATAGGCCGTGCGTGACCGGCCTCAAGCAGTTGTCCCTTGGGCTCTGCGGTCACGCTCCCAGGTCTCTAAGACCAACTCTAATCCACCTTCCTTTTCAGGTCCCTCAAGAAACAACCTTCCACGGTGTGGGCAGCCGGGAAGTGACAACCGCCCTCATACCCGTAACAGCACGAGAGACCAAATTGGTCAAAATCAAATCCTTCCTACACCCCCTAACATCTCTCCTATCTCTAAGACTAACTCTACTCAAATATATCATACTACAATTAAACGATCTAGTTTCAAGAGGGGAGCAAATCGATCTATAGCTTTTAAACTATAGAAACGTTGGCTGTTCATCTTTGCAAAATCAACATGTAACAAGCATGATTATCCATTGTCCTAATACCTAATTTTCCATAGATGGTAAATTGATTATTAATACGTTTTTCTAAAACGTTAATTTATTGTTTTTATTATCATAATTTTTCATTCATTCTTCTTTCTTTTTTCTTCATTCTCGTGAAATGACCATTTATCTTTCATATAGTTGGTTTTGTCTAACCGTAACTTCTTTAAATTCTCAATTATTATACATACATTTGCTTTTTGAGACGTGTAATGCAAATTCAATTTTTTAATAGATTAATTTATTTGTTAGCTAACTATGAAATATAACTGTGCAGCTTGAGTGAATGATTTTGTCGAAAAAATAAAGATTTTATATAATTAACTGTTTTAAAACAGAAGAAACATTCATAAGCTAGCCAATTGTACTAACAGAGGTACACACACACACACATAGAGAGAGAAAGTAATTACAGAATAAAAAATAATGAAATACACATGAAGTTATTCCTTTCTAGTTGATAAAATATCATTTCATCAATGTATGATGATCATTTGTCTTGTGTTTTTTTTTTCAAAATAAAAACATAAAACTGCTACAATTTATTTTGTAGTAGTAAAGTTGGAGAAGTAAAAACAGCGTGTTGATCTATCAGATCGGTTAGATGAAAATGCTTCTTAGGTCGTATTAGTTTTAACAACTACTTTCTTGACATCGATTTATCAATGATAAAAATGATTTTTAAAAGACATTTTTAAATAACCATTTATTGTTTGTTGTTTAATGATTCCTTATTAACAAACATTTTACTCTTAGACAACCTGCAAAATCTTATTTAAAATATTAGTTTATGTTAGTTTTGATAATTAAGTCAACAATAGAAAAAAATAATCAAACTGAAATACGACATTTTACTGAAGTAAATTATATTGGTTTTTTTCATGTTAATAATAACATATATGTGTGTATATATGACAGTTTGACTATTTTAAGCTGTGTGATCGTATCTATTTATCGATATGGGATCAAGTGTACTACTACTACTACATTTTTTCTCCAACATCGAAATAGTATAAACAATTATTCGAATGAATTCGTATTGTCAAATTAAACAAATGATTAAAACAAGAATATATTTTCAATGATATTATAAAATTGGTACAAAAAATAATTTTTTTTATTGATATATTATTAAATATATGCTTACCATAATTTTGTATTTGGAATCACTCATTAATAATTCAGGTGAATCTTCACATGGTTGTACAAGATTTGGTGCAAATACTAAAGCTAAATTATACGCTGTCATTCTATTCACTCCTTCACGAGCACTAACACGAGCTAAATGAGTAACAAGATAACGCAGTGTAGCTCGATGTGCTCTATATTCCGGATGACATGGATAACATTCCATGATACTTAATAAACGCTGAATAGACAGAAGACGTTTTTCACGTTGTGATAAACGGCATGCAGCCAAAAAATCAGGATACATAACTAAATGTACGTCAACAAAAAGAGAAAGATTAAAAGAGAGTAACAGTTTAGTGACACTGTTTACTAATAAAGTATGTGAATATTATTTTACAAAATAAATCAAATAAAATTCAAACAAAAAATGACTGGAGTACTATTGAGAGGAGAAAAAAACGATCAGTATAACAGTCTAGGTGACATTATTTTAGAAAGACTAAAAGCAACAAATAATTAAAGCACAATAATTAATTAGTCATAATGAATAACAAGGTATACTGGCAATAATAGATCACCATTAATATTTTGAACCATGAGGATAAACAGTGATACATTTTCTTTATTATTTCGCAAGTAGTGAGTAGGGAAGAAATAATAAGTGAATAAAATTATTTTCTGTTTGTTAAGATATGCTATTACTACTACTGCTACTGCTACTACTACTGGGACTGAGATTATACTACCTTCTAGAATGTATACTTGATCGAAACACAATACATGCAATGTATTGTATTGGACCAGTTACACGATCAGAGAAAGGGATCAGACAATACTTCATCCAACACAATTACAATTAATCCATACTCAGGGAAGGAAATAACATGTTAAAAAGTCAGTAATCTAAGTGCCTGCTTGTTAATAATGTACATAGATTTTATTCTATTTTAAATTAATTCATTAGATTCACATGTAATTCAACGATATTTATGCGAAACTAGTTATTGATTATCGTACCGAAATATCATATCATAGATTAGGTTGATGAAGCAACGACATCTACTCTTGAAGCATATTATATACTTTAGTCAGCACTACATATTATTGATCGACTATTACAAACTACGCAACATTAAAGAGAAATATTCTGTTATAATCAAAAAAGGCTTATATATATATAAAGCATGCAAAGTGACATTTAATATGTGCTTGATTAGAACTATTGTATAAAACTAAGGAAAAAAAACCCGTATATCTCCAATTATGTATGCATGTATGTAACAAAAAAAATGTCAAATAAGTCACCTTTAGGAAAAAGAGAGTCTGGTAGATTGCGTAGAAATGTTTTCAAAACTCCACAAACAGCATGTAAATCATTCCACTTATCTGATGTGACATCGATTGTAGTAATATCCTAGAAAAATAAATAAAATATATTTGTAAATTTTCTCATGTTATCATTATAATGTTAAAATGACAAACATTGATTTACAGAAATAATAAGATGAAATAGTGCTAGTCTAAGCAAATTCACAATAATATAATAACTTAATATTTTAACTCACTACGCTACAATTTCAACGAACGATGGTACATTGAAAAACAAGTGGATATTCATGAAAAATTTTAAAAGGAATATTTTTTTTAGCAGTCAGTTAGTAGGAATGTTGGATTGTGAAACAGACATTTCTGTAAATTTCTACTTTTAATGGTAGCAAAACTTAGTTTTATACATTCTTTCTTGAATAATCATATAATTGAGCATCAAAAATTTAAATAAATGAAATCTGTTCACCAATCACAGCGCACTTCAAGTCAACATTGTTGTTATCTGTTAGGTAGTATAACTCTTTTTAAAAGAAACTAATGTTTTTAATGAAATTCACCATGTTACAATTATGAAAACATTCTATAGAGAATTAATTATATGAGTAAAAGAAAGTAATCAAAAACTGTGTTGAAATTAATTGGTAATTATGTGAGTGATAATGAATGTAGTTATCCCATTAAAACAACATAATATTATAATGAAATTTTCATGAGAATGTTTCTTTATTCTTAAGGTTGTGTTAGTAGGACAGAGATTGAATGAAAGCATGTACAATGTAGGATTATGTTGGAACACGTTGGTTAGCGCATTTTTAGCCAATCAATGCTAGCGGATAGATGGACAGAATTCTTGATTATTCTTGTGTAAAAATTATAAATATGCCACTCTTTTAATAACTATGAAATTTTATTGCTATGCATTCTACTTGGTTTATTGGAGTATGATCAGCTATCTGTTCAAAATGAGTTCTGATTTTGAAAATTAGTTGAACGTTGAAAGGGGCGAAGAATACTGAGCAATAAGATAGATGGGTCGTATAAGCGAGATCATAAACAGGTCGAATTAGTACCTCCCCAATCCCTTAAAATCGTGCATGGAGGACAGTTGACAGAATCGTTCAAGATGAAAACCGGTGTCAGGCAAGGTTGCTTACTCTCACCCTTCCTCTTTATCCTAGCGATAGACTCGATTACGAAGATATCAACATCTGGAGGGAAGCACGGTATACAGCCAGGATGCAGATGGACGATATGGACTACACAGATGATTTGGATCTTCTATTGCATACGCAACAACAAATGCAAGAGAAGAAGACCAGTGTAGCAGCAGCCTCAGCAGCAGCAGCAGGTCTCAACATACAAAAAGGGAAAAAGCAAGATCCTTTGATACAACACAACATACACAAACCAAATCGCACATGACTGAAAAGCTTTAGAAGATGTTGAAACCTTTACATAATTAGCAAGGTTAATCTGATGCAGATGTGAAGGCGCGGATCGGCAAAGTAAGGACAGCTTTTTTAAAACTGAACAACACCTGAAACTGAAAACAACTGTCAACCAGCACCAAAGTCAGAATTTTCAATACAAATGTTAAGACAGTTCTACTGTATGGGGAGGAAACTTGGAGAACTACCAAATTTATCATCCAGAAGATATAATTACTTGTTAACGGTTGTCTACTTAAAACACTTCGGATTCGTTGGTCAGACACTATCACCAAAAACCTACTGGGGGGGAGAGCAAACCAGGTTCCAGTGGTGAAGGAAATCAGGAAAAGCCGCTGGAAGTGGATAAGACACACATTCCGGGAAGCACCAAACCGCGTCACAAAACAAACCCTCACTTGGAACCCTCAATTCAAAAAGAAAAGAAAAAGGCCAAGGAAAACATTACGCCGAGAAACGGAGATAAAAATGAGGAGAATGAACAAAAATTGGGAGAGGACTGGAAAGGGAACCCCAGGACTATGAGCCTTCATGACCACTTCGTTGGCAACCAACAGTTCACAGTTCTTGATTCATTTAGCTTTGAGTGGCTACCATTGATAGCTATCAGCTATTCCTTTCTGATAGGCTGAGAAATCGAGACACCACCTCCCCAAGCTTACATCCCATTTTTAGGTCAAGCGGTAGTGTTGAAAGCTTATAAACAAGGCTAGCCGATTGTAAACTTTAGGCAGTGTATCAACCCATATGAAATTGTCTAACTCAGAAGTACGAATGCCTGTACTAGTGACTTAGATACCAATAAACTCAGGTTTTCAATTAAAGCTTCCTAGTAATTCTATCGTCTTCTCACTACCATAGTAGGTTACACAAGATCAATTAGAGAAAAATTGATTGAAGATTCTATGCAATAGAAAAATAATTGTAAGAAGATGAATACGAAGGCGAAAACTACAAGGCAACTCCTCAAGAAAAGGTTATTGATATAATTTCCCTAGAAACAAAATGTGGAGTCTATACATTTGAAACCACACCACATTAGGTCAACTTCGGACGTGGTTAGCTTGAAAAGTAATAACATTCACGTTTATCAATACTCCTCCTAGGTGATTTCATTTATTTAAATTAGGAAGAACAACAATACTATAATACACCATCTAAAGAACAACTCACTGTATCAAATGATAGGAGTTATATGTCACTAGAAAGAAATTAGTGATCAACAACAAATTCCAATTTTAATTACCTCAGTAAAATGTTTAGTTTCGTCTTCAAGTTAAAAACTAATAAATATGTACGCAAATAAACAACTCAATAGCATTGTATTATTAAGTTGGACAAGTTTAAAAAAAATTAATAACCATTGGTAAAACTCATTGTGGTTATTATGTCCAACAATAACACGATAGATTAAACAAAATGAACAGAAACCATGAATTACAACTTACTTTGCTTAATTCAGAAGTAATAAAGTCATGAGCTACCTTGCTTCCAGATAAACGATAAATACCGATACAATTGAGACCATAACGTTCAACCAATGTAACGCAGAGTTCTACCACAAAAGGAACAAACTAAAATAAAAGGAAAGAAATAGGCTAGATGAGGTGAACAAATCTCAAATCAATTTTACAAAGAAAAATGAAATTGTAAAGATATAATAATGTTGAAAATGTAATAAAAAATTAACTCACAAATAAATGGTATTTTGAATATAGAAAAAAATAATTACGTAATGACAATAATAGTCATTTCTTATTTTGCATGGTCGCATGATTTCAGCAGACAACAATAATTAAGCAGGCAGTGACGATGAAATTTTATCACAAAGTTTGACCGAAGTAATTTTGATGCGATAAACAGATAACTTTTTCATAGATAAAAACTGTTTAGTCAAAGTTTACTCACAAAAAAAACAACTATAAATCGACTAGTTGGTGCAGCTTTTTGATGGTAGAATGTGGGAGTCTCCTTTTTAGAAATTCAAAACTGTATTTACACAAATAACATGTTGCTTGTATGTGACTGACGAGAAAGCACGAAATGGTACTATCTCACAAAATATGTCTTCTTATTTCTCTATTCAAACTATAAATCGAACAATATTCTGATAAAAGGAAATCGATCGGATGAAATTTAAAAACAAAACTGAATATGAATTTTGAATTCATTTAACTCTTACGTCTTTCAGTGATTTAGTACTAACGGATAAGTACTTAAACACAAAGAATAAGTTTTAAAAATACACTAAATATCAAACTAGATCACTTATCAAACTAGGCATGATTTATTTATTGAAATTTTGTAGCCCATATGAGGATAATTATAAAACGTACCAATGTTTTCTTGTCACAATGACTTCAAAGAATTCAAGCAAATAAATTTTTTGTGTTTATTCATTTTTTAAGAGATCAAACTATGATGTTATTAAGTAAACTACAGAAAATAAGATGATCACTGGATACAAACTAAACACACCCACCGTATACTTCATATATAAACTTTTTAAACAGTGCTCATTCTGTAGTTTCAGAAACGAATTTATTTTACTACTAATAGTAATAGTGAGAAATAGTAACTTATGTACTAATCAATTGCCCTAATTCTTTCATTATATTCCAAAATTTATTGAATATTATCAATGAAATCCACTTCTTAAGTATAAGTAAGTCCATTCAACTTTGAACCATATTTATTATATGTTTAATAGGGATTACTACTTCAAGTAGATGAAGCAAGCTTTAAAACCGGTTTTCAGTGGTTAAAACATTTCTTGTTTAGAACATTAAGAAACGAAGACGAAATATTCGTCACTTATACACGAAAAATTGGTGGTTTAGAACAAAACGTTTAATTAATCGGTGAAAAGTATGATCCATGATCAATAAGGGTGGATTCTTAAACTTTTCAACTGCGAATGAATCAGACACAGTGTTACTCTACTCTACTACAGCTATTTACTCAATATCCTTTCAACCAATTAATGTTATATATATTATATGTTACACTTTTATTCAGTCAATTATAACGTAGAACTTCGTACATGAGTACATCAGTTCAGGTTTCCATACCGCATTAGCGCAGAGACGCCACTGCCACTGTCAGTTCAAATCACATAGTGTTGCGATAGTAGAAGTATTAGCAGCAATGAAGATTAGGGTTTGAAGATATTATTCAAGAAGTATGATTCAGTGAGATAACTTTAGAAAGAGAAAGATAGAGGTGATGAGGAATTCAGAAGGTTAGAATTTGAGAGAACACGAAGAGTGGATGCACCTGTGCCATTGCAAACGATTTTGACCCATGTCGTTCAAGATCTTTAACAGTCGACTACTATCATCTCGCGGACCCCAACCAGACAGCCTACATCTACCAACATGACTCATCCACTTCTCAGTGACTTCACAGATTTCTGCCATGTTTTGGTTTGGCTGTCCCTAACTTTCTTCTAACCCACTCCTATATCACAAAACATAGCTCGTCGAGGCAGTCGGTGGTTAAGCATTCGTAGCACAGGTAGCAGCCGCCCCAACTGATGAAGTTTCAATACTTCATCTTTTGATCTGCCATCTTTATCTAGTACTCGTTTCCTAACGAAAGCATTGCCTACTCAACTGTCCCAGGATATACGAGCAATGCTTCGGAGACACCTATTACTGTTACACTACTACTACTACTACTACTACTACTACTACTACTACTAATAATAATAATAATAATAATAATAATAATAATAATAATAAGAAGAAGAAGAAGAAGAAGAAGAAATATTTTATCGTGACAGAGAGAATATAAAAATAAAACGGTAATTAAAATGGGTTAAAAAAACTTACAGGAGATAATGTACTTCTAGGACATTTATGCAATGGCAAAGGATTACTTAGTTGTATAGGCAACGGTATGAAAGGATGTTTGGATTGAACAAATAATGTGTATTCACTTCGATTGCTAATCCTTTGGATTACATTGCCTTCTGAGTTTATGTCTTGATTTACAGTTTCCGATACTAACACAGTAAGCTGCCTAGTTGCTTTATGTTCTTTCCTAGACTGTTGGCTGACTGGTATATCAATATAATGACCAGGTTCTTTGTATGAATATTCATGGGATCCGTCTGGCTCAGTGAAAAAAAAAGAGAATATTTATCCAAGTAATTAATTTTACAATAAACTATTCGTTTAAAAACTTCAAAACAGATGAAGTGAATTAGGTTGAGTGATTATGCAGTCACGTATTGATTTCACCACCGATTACGATTAATAGTAATCATAACATATATTCTAATCTGTGTTGCATTATTTTTCAACATATGAATACACATTCATCATAACTTTGTCTATTCGTACTGTTTATATTCTTATTCTTCTTATTATTATTACGATTTCAGTTACGCTTTGAACATTTATGTTAAGTATGTTAAACAATTGTTTATAATTATATTGACAATTGTAATTTTAGACTGTATGTAGCTGATGACAGGTTGTGAAATAGAATGAATTCATTTTATTCTACAAACCTTGTTGTTCCTGCTCTATGTAAAATTAAAATGATGAGTTAGCGAAGCAAGCATAAACAATAAGTTCATTTGTGATAGAATACGTCAGTAAGATCTCACTAATTTACTTTGTGTTATGTTGGAACCATCTTTGTTCATACCGAATTTTGATTTTGGTGACTAGACTGTAATCTTAAGTACTAAGCTAAAAACTTTTTTATGATAAACAGTGAGATGATTCTATTTTGATATAAGATCATTTTGTCTGTAAATTTACTTTAATTTTTGGGAATAATTTATACACCATATATCGAATCAATTTCTTGTATAGAAATATCTACTTACCAGATGAATCAATATTAGGATGAACTGATTCATTACATTCCATCTGCAGATAAGTTAAACATGGAGTTTGCAACGAAGGTGATGGTGAAACTGATGTAGCCATCAATAATGCTAGCTGATTGTGATTATTATGTAACTGAGATGAGGCATTGAAACTGTTTTCTAAATTAATTGAAGAATTCATATGTTGAATGGATGCTTGAATAGGAGAACTTATGGGAATAGATTTATTTTTTCCAAAGCCGTGAGATGAAGCAAATCTTCTTGTTACATTAGAACCTGAATGGCTGGTAGGATCACAAGATGCTGTAGCTGCACGCTTCATTCTAGTAAGTGCTTGATGTAAACGTCCACGACCTCGAGGAAGAGAAGGAAGAAATTTAAGCTCTTTGGATTTACTCGGCTGTGAATTGAAATTCGACGGATCAGATGAGTTAATATTTGATGTTTTATCACCTATAAAAAGAATCAGTTATATAAAAGAATATCAGATCACTAATTATATATGAATAATTTTCTGCTATATGATAATAGTGATAAGAAGCGATTTGATTTATCACACGATTCAGAGTAAAATATTTATCAGATTAAAAAGGAATACGAACAGGATACAAAAATATACTTATTATTTATAATCCTTAAACTATTTTTTTATACGATGTGAAGCTGTTACATGTGCTGTTAGGGGTATGAGGTTGGATGTCACTTCTCGCTGCCAACACCATGGAAGTGTGCTTCCTGAAAGATCTGACAAGATTCTGGATTCTAGTTGGTCTTGATGACCTGAGAGCATGACCACAGCGCCTAAGGGACAACAACAATTAACTTGCTTCGGCAGGTGGAAACGCGACACATTAGGTACGAGTTCTCCGATTCAGTTGTAGCACATTAAATGGCCAGTAGATGAATTGCCTACTATAATCTAGTAGTAGTTTGTGACTCTGTAGTGGAATAAATTGTGGTTTGATCAATGATGTGACATTTCTGGACTATGAGAGTGATGACGAAAATATAAAGTCCAACTGAGATGTGCAGTTACATGCAACAGCCCTACGGATTATAAAAGAAGGAAAACCGAAGAACCTGTTTTCACATTTTGTAAAACTAGAAGCCTGCTGCTTAGCCATGTTAAAAAAACTGACGAGCAACCCTTCAAACGAAACAACTAACAATATTCGCCTATAAATCAGTAAGCTCATGAATTTGAGTGATTATATGGACCTAAAAATACAAATATAAGAACTAACTTCAACGTAAAAAAAACCTTAAAACTCACTATTTACTGACTTCAGAGTTGTAGTGTGAAGCCTTGACAGACGGAGTTCAAGCAAATTATGAACGAGACAGATATTATTGATAGCAATGAATGCAAGTTAAGCAATAAAGTCAATTAACTACGGTTGTAAATGTGAATCGTTAGATAAAAACTCAGTGTATAGATGATTTTACTCTTAATGTGAGATTCGGAAGTTATGGATTTGACGCTTGGTGAGAATGTAAATAGGTACTAGCGAGGAGTCTTAAACTAGGACAAAAGAAAAGTCGTACAATCCTTTATTTTCGAAGAGTTTTTTAGTTAATGAAGAAAGGTAACTTCAGAATAAACGATCGTTAGAAAAGCCAAAGCTCATGTGATAACTTCAAATAAACTTCCCATAGAACGGTTATACAGTAAAATGTGTCTTTCATTCAAGCCCGAAGATAACAACAGAACACAGTCAGTTTTAAAGTTTTTAGACAATCAACTGAGTACTATCGCTGATTCGTCTAAGCCACAAAAACCTTCTAACAAATAAAAAACTAACTTTGTGATTTGTTAATATCGCCATTCCCAGCTGGAGCAGGCTCTTGTGTAGAAGAGACAGAAATCGTAGACTGTTTATTCGACGGTAATAATCCTTGCAGATTAATATACTCGCTAAGCTGCATGCCGACTGATGCTGCGGCAGTTCCGACTGCTTTAAATAGTGGCGCTACACCAGAAGGTCCAGCAAGACCAAGACTAGATCGTCCTGAGGAAAATTTGGGACGTAATCCATGTGATGGTAAGCTAGTTTGAGACGAATGGGTTGTGGAGTGTTTCTGTGACTTTTAAATAATAAAACAATATAAGATATTAAAAATATTGTTACGACCAGGCTCTAGATAAATAATTTGAACCTTAATGCGATAGAAACGCAATCCAATACTTTTTAACTGAAATTTTACTTTACTCTATCCCCCATTAATAAGCCTCTCTATCCAGTAGTCTCTGAACTAAAGAGAAGATAAAAGGAAGTAGAAGGTTTATTCGTGATATTTGCAGACTTTTAGGGAAATGGAAGCATATATTATACTGGTATATACACACATTTCATATTGTTAATCAAACAATGCAGTTTTAAGAAACGTGAAAAATGCATGTTTAAGTAAAAAACCCAAGATAAATACTGATAGATCGACAAAATTAGAGATAATGACATGAAACTTCAGAGAATAGTTTACACAGACAACGCAGCTGTCAAACCTTTTACTACGCGAACAAGAAGTGAACAAAATGAGAAAGGAAAACCCTCCAGATAATTTGTATCGCGAAATTAATATTATTATTACAATACCGATGCAAAACTAAGAAGAAGAGATAGAGTAGTTTATCGGTCTTATATCCAAGACCTGATAAAAATTATCTTCAGATTAAAGTAAAATTTACTAACGATACAAATAAAATGAGTAATGAATTCAAAACCGATGATCCAGGTAAATCTAGCTGACAAGGCCCGAATATGGTAAAATGCCTGTCTTGGGTTAAACAGATAGTCACACGGCAAACATACCAAGACTAGAGACAGAACTGTATAGAGGAAATCCAAAGGGGAAGCACGTACACCAACCATTGAGATTGATCGATTGCAGTCATGAGTATGAACAACGGGGAATTACAAACCCATATCAATAAAAGGAGAAACGTTGTGAAAGAAAAAGAAATGCAAAGAGCGTGAATGAAGTTACCATATAATCAAATCATTTCAAGTAATGCCATCATCATCAGCAAAGGTTTTTAACTTATAATTTCTAACGAAATCATATATTTCGCTGAAGATTAAAATCAACTGTTAATAAATGTCTGTGTGAAATAATTCAATTTCGTGACATTAGAAAGATAGTAGGATATCGATAACAAAACTGAGCTTGATGAAAATAAACAAATGAAAGAAAAGCTTTGAAAGCAATCATCAACATTCAAAGTTTAACGCCTTATTATTGTTTACAAAACAAGAATATAATACAGAGGAAGATTTAAAAATTAAGATATAGATATGAGAAAATGTTACCTCTTTAGAGTCTTTATTGATTTTTCCTGGTCCATAACGATCAAATATATTAGACGCTATCTGACGATCCGGAAAATTAAGATAACATGTAAGGTTTAATCTTGAACTGTGTAACACACCAATGACCCCAGTTTCTGAATCATAATTCGACGGTAAAGATATATGTGTTATCCCGGGCAACTCAGAAGGTGAATACCAAATTATACTTTCTCCAGATAACGGAATATGAATGTGAAAAGAATTGTCGTCAAGATCAGCGTGATGAGTAGATATCTGAATGAAAAAATTTATTGTCAAAAATACTAGTCTGTAAACAAAACCACATAATGCAAGATATTAAATACAAAATAGTCTTCATTAATCACTATAAAATTGGTCATTATTCGACCAGGGAAGATGGATCTAGTAGTGGATTGGAGAAATCATATCTTACGAATACACTAGAAAAAAACAAGTTCATAGGTGAACAATGTTTATATAAATGGCCTCTCAAGTTACTGAAGAGTTTAGTGTAAGTATATAAAGATAACTGAATCCATAGAGATAAAAGAATAGCAACAATGAAATGTTTTTAGCTTCAACACAAAATTAAACTACTTTTTTCACAGTATAATGAGTAACTCTAATATATTATATGCTGATGTGGTATGGCAACTTGAGCTGATGTACGTACGTACAAAGCTCGACGTTGTAGCTGACTGACTGACTAATATATTGTAAAATGAAAGTACGATTAATTAAATGTAAAAGTGTTGATCATCTTTCCGTATTTTCTTACTTTCTACCTATCTCCCAACTTATCGATCCATACATAGTGCAGGACAATTTACCTAATATTGAATAACTTGAAACAAATTCAATGAAAGAACATGGCAGTATTAAATTCCCGTGAAAATAAAATAACAGATTAACTATTTTCCTCCTTTTGTGTATTGCGTATGACTCTTAATTTGTAAAATGTTAAAGGATGTATAACTGCATGTTAATTTTTCTTCTAACTGTAAAAAAAATATCAAGTTCAATTTGGTTCAACCTCACAGGAAAGAACACATGTAGAGAGAGAGAAAGTGAGATTAACTTAAATTACACCTGTGTATATTTACGTAAAAGTACAGATAAGAAGTAAGAAAAAAGCACAATAAAAGCAAATTAAAACTTTCAGAGTTAAGTATAAAAGTCAATGATGGATAGGAAGAGCAAAAAGCTGAGATTTACCTGACTTGAAAAATCATTCGCTCGTGTTAACACCAGTGTTTGACCTGATAACGTCATTTGATAATTACACCAAACTAGTGACTTTTTAGAATCCTATGAAAATTTAACAGAAACAAATCATAAAAAATGGATGATATTTAATTTTTTTTAACCACCATATGTCAAAAAATAATTAAGGAGTCATCTAGCCAGGCATCGACAACTTTAGATCTAGATCAAATGTAGAATGATAATGAGAGGAAAATAACCCTGAGCATCTGAGATAATACAAATAAAAATTACAGTGAAAACAGTCGAAAATACAAATAGAAGACTGAAACAAATGATGTAATATTGCATTTTCAAAACAAAAGGACAGGATTGGAAAGGGTGGACCCCAAAAATCAGCACACTTCACTTTTCTCGTCAGATCCGCTCACTAGGCAGTAAATGCAGAACATATCAAGAACTAATAGTAAAAGAGCCGTGTGTGATTGTCTTTAATCAGTTATTTTTTGGGCTTCGAGGTTACGCTGCTATGTTGTCAAGACCACTACTGGTCTAGCTTTATTTTCAAGCAGCTTATAGAAAGTATCGCTCTATGATGTAAGCGACTAAAAGGTTGAGGCTGCCCAAACAACACTAACAGAACTTAAATTGACAATCAGCGGTTTCAATGTGAAAAACCAACTAAGTGAAATCTAGTGTATGGATGGTAAATCAGGATATCCAAAAAAAACAACAACCAACTTTCTTATAATATGATAGTTTAATTTGAAAATATAAGAACGAAATCAATTAAATGCTATTAAGAATAAAAACCAACCTCTATCTTAGAATCATTCCAATGAAGAGATGCAATTACAGGATATGATGGCGTATGAGAGTTGGAAATTTTTACAGATTTCCTGTCATTCACATTTGTAGTCTGATCTGAACAATCGCATACTAAACTGGGTCGTCTGACTGATTCAACAGAATAGTAACCATGGGATCGCAGTTGTCCAACGTTAGAAGAGTTAACAGAGTCATCTTTATCTTCATCTGCAAGTGCACTGGTGGATGCTGATGTTACAGAACTGGTATAGCCAATCTGTTTAAATCAACAAACAAACAATTTAGTTCACATGTAAAATAAGATATGCTTAAAAGATTTTGGTAATTAATGAAAAATAGAAAAAGGCTTTTGTCAAGTATTTGTGCTTAAAAGCAAACTCCCAAAATGAAACACAAAACACGTGATATACAATCTACGGTTTATGTAAACACAATATAATACTTAGTAGAAGGGCTTCCGAACAAATATCACTGTGTTTTTCCTGACAGTACAAGGACTGTTTAGGCTTTAAAAATACCTCGAAATAGTAAATCCATTTTGAAAATGAATAAAGGGCAAACACTTTTTAGAACCTAAACACTAATAAACTTAACAATGGTGGTTTTTTGTGATGTTCAAGTTAGACGCTGTTAAAAGTAAAAGGCAAATGTAGATGATTAATAATCTGATTCCTGGTGGTGTTGTAAAAGCTGACATTGAGAAAACTGAAGTCTTAACCTAGGATAAAATATCTACCTAATGAGTCTGTTTTAGTTCTGAGAGGTTGTTCAGTTGAAGTTATTGCATGATTCAGGTTATTTTTAAAAAAAAAGTTTATTCAGTGACAATGAAGACATAACATCAAATGTGATTTCTGTTTGACAAGTTACAGTTTTGCAACTGAGATAAGCCGAATATGTAGTTACGAATGAGATGTTATGCGAACTCAACAGCCCGGAAGACTAGTAAAACACTTCGACACTAGTCCTTAAAGCGTTAGAAGACAGAAGTCAGACGATCAGGATAACTTCATTTTCATGAAGACAAAAAGCTAAAGGCTGCATACATACAGCAAACGAAGATAGCGTTATGATATTAAAATTACCAAATCAAAAGTGAGAATAACCCAATCAATAACATCAACGAATATAGAGAGAACATACGTGCGGAAAATATCAGCGCAGATATCCTTTCACGAAAAACTAGCTAACCTTACGTTTTCTTAGCGAGTATAGACATCTTTGTTACTGAAAAATTAATACTGATTATTAACCATAAAGAGTAGTTTCTGAATTAGGTTGTAGAGAGAAAAATTATTGCCTGGTGTACTATACAAATTCCGAAATTCAATTGTGAGAAATAGATGTAAAATATTGGAGAGGTACAATACTAAACCTGAAAAATAGGCAGTACGAAATCAACCAAATATTTGGTCATATTTTTGGAGGAAAAAATTAAAAAAAGCAGTAGTCACCTTATGATACATACAAAATAAAAGAAAAATAAAAACTAATGCTTACAGGATCACCAAGAATGTGTCTTATACGCCGAAGATGTCGAACAGTCCGAACTATTTGTGAACTTGGTACATTGTGAGGATGCAAAGGTTTAGGATGAGGTAGGAAGGAATCAGCGACAGGGCTATATTTTAAAAATAAATGATTTACAGGAAATAAGTGAATATTAGGACTTGGAGGGCGGGAAAAAATTTCAGAGCATCAATTGTTCAATAAACGAATTCAAATGAGATGAATTTTTACATTCATTATTTGAGCATTAAACGATTTGTACATAAAACCAAAATTTTGATTGATAAGAAATTAATTTACGAAAGTTTTCCAATATGACCTATGCAGCTGTCATAACACTTCTCATGGCAATTGTAGATCGTTAAATACCTAAGAACAACAGTTGTGATATAGTTAAATAGAGAAACATCTGGAATATTCTGCGACCTTATGTCCATTGTTTACTAGAATATAGAGGGCGCAATCTTAACTTTGAGAGGCAGTTGTTTATATCTGGATAGACCACTATGTGTATTGACAGAAAGTAGACCTTTACATTCATCAGCTACTAAGATTTGTAAATAAGCTTCTGATAAATCCAACCTTGCAAAACGCTTGTACTCATTCAACTTGGTGAAGAGATCTTCGGGCAAAAATAAAGGATACTTATAAGTTTATAGAGCTTTATTGAGACTGGTTGTGTAATCAGCTTTCGTAAGCACAGGACTTTTTGGTCTAAATACCGATTCCACTCCAGGTCGGAGAATGGGAGAAGCATTCTCCAAGACCATCACTGAACATTAAGGTAAATGATGATAAACGTTTTGCAAAGTTGGATTTATCAGAAGCCTGTTAACAAATCTTAGTAGCTGATGAATGTAAAGATCTCCTTACTGTGAATGCACATAAGGGTTTATTCAGATATAACCGACTGCCGCTCGGACTTAAGATTACGCCCTCTATATACTAGTAAATTATGGACACCATACTACAAGATGTTCCGGATGCAACAGCTTTGTGACATACAGAAACAGTAATATTCATAGTAAGTCAGTTAGTCAATTACGACGACGTACGAATGTAAGTTCAAAATGCCATTAACGAAGAGATGCAACCGTCAGTTCAAATAACATAGTGGTAGAGATAGTAGAAGTATTAGTAGTAATGGAGAAGATTAAGGTTCGATGATACCATTCAAGACGTATAATTCAGTGAGATAACTTTAGAAAGATTAGAATTTGGAAGAAAACAAAAAGTGGATGCACCTGCGCTTTCTTCCAACCTACTCTTACACCATACAACATCGCTCATCGAGGCAGTCAGTCGTCGAGCATACGTAACACATGTCCCAACCACTTCAACTGGCGGAGTTTCAATACTTCATCTATTGATCTGCCATCCTTACCTAGTACTCGTTTCCTAACAACAGCATTGCTTACTCAGTTATCCCACGATAAATGAACAGTGCTTCGGAGACACCTATGATCGGAAACCAATAACCTACGAATATCTCCTACTTTGACTGGCCATGTTTCGCAGCCATAAAGTAGGACGGAGCGAACTGCTGCACAGAACACTCGACCTTTGCTTAGCAAAAGCCAATCCAGCTATCTGTATCCGTGCTGAGATTTCATCAGTCACCAGACCATCAGCGCTGATACTCGACTACTTCACTCCCTATCACTAGATCAGATACCGACGCAACCCAATCTTGAAGCAACATTTTGCATCCCGAGGGTGAGAACCGCATCTCAAACATGCTTGCATTGTTGTTTAGGGTAGTCAAAAGACTGCATTTTGTCAGTGTCTTCACCGAATAGAACTGTGTCATCAGCATACTCTAGGTCAATAAGCGATCCTCCTGGTAGAAGGTCCACTCCTGCAACGTCAGACGATGATAGTGTAAACTCTAAAAGGATGTCTACGACAAAGTTAAACAAGAATGGAAAGAGTGGACAGCTCTGACGGACACTATTTGAAGGAACTAATTCCGATGACAGTTTGCCTCTCGACCTGTGGTGATCGAGTACAGAGCTTGTATAAGGTTAATGTACTTCTTTGGTACACCTTTCAATGAGACACTGTCACAGAACCTCACAATTCACGGGTCCAGGAAGACGACTATTGTCGGACGCCTAAATGTTTGTCTGTATTCCAGGACCTGTCGTGGTGTGGAAATGTGGTCTATACAGCCACGTCCAGGTCGGAAGCCAGCTTGGTTTTCTCGAGTCTGCACCTCACAAGCTCTAGTTAGGCGTCTAAGTATTGTCGAGGCTAACAATTTAGAAACCATATTAGCTAGACTAACCCCTCCACGGTTGTCATAAGAGAACTTCCGTCCTTTCTTAAAACTGGAACAATCAGTGATTGAGACCAGTCAGATGGGATTACGCCCAGATCCCGAATTCTACCTAAGATCTCAGTCAATCTAACTGCTAAAACTGGTCCACCATCTAGAAAAATTTCAAAAGTCAATCTCTCAAGATTCGTTGCTCTCCTTCGCTGAAGATTTCCCATAGCTTTTTCACTCTCATAAACAGTTGTTGCAGCAAATGCTGGTTGTCCAAGGGAAACACCTTACTGCCATCACACCTCTCAACAGACAGCAGTACGACTTCACCTTGAGTAGCTGATTTTAGTCTTACCGTACACCAATCGACCAGCCTGGCATGGTAGAACCTACAGGAACATACGTTTCAGCCAATACAGCTCGGTTGGGACATCACGATAGGCAAACCCAACCACCACGACAAGGTAGCAGCTACGGTCGGGCTTATACTTGTAAGTTACGCATTGTTGATGTAATCTTTTGTTTATTAAAATTTACATTTTTATTGAAACGTACATATTCCTCTGACTGTTTAACAATTGAAAGTAAATATTTCTCTCGGTCATGGTATTGCCACGACGAGCGATGTCTGATGTAGGGATAGGTTGGAAGAAAACTTGAGCTGATGTACGTAATTACCAAGTTGTACGTTGTAGCTGGCTGACGGTTATGGTATTACAATGCTTGGGAAACATACTGAAATTAAGTACGAAGTGAAGTTTTGTTTTGAAATTTGGTGGAAAATATGATGAGATTTTACTTGGGTCTTTATTTAAGTAAAGGGTCGTTACATATTTTTCATTGACTTTTACGATCAATCTTACAAACAAAGAAAACTGTCTTCCGAAAGACTTTTCTAAAATCAAATTCAGTAGAAAAGAATCGTAAATAAAAACAATGACTGAGAAAATATAAATATACGGAGGTTTGATAACAGTCGTTTGTCATGAAATTTCAGAAAACTATCGGTTCGATAAAACAGGTATTAAGCTTAATGGCATTGTATTGTACGATAATTTCCATACTATATATATATATATATATATATATATATATATATATATATATATATATATATATCCACATGTCCAAAAATTAATAAGGAAAGCTTTATGTAGCCTTGTTGCTTATCCTTAAATAACAACAATAACACCACCCATATCACCATCTACATCAAAAACAAACAACATCAACGGAATATTTTTTAAAAATCCTCCCCTTCTAATAACAATTATAAATATAAATTTTCTATTTTTTCATGGAAAAATACATGCACGCAAACAACACAAGCGGATCAGATGACGGGTCAATCGATCAGAGATTGAAAGGAAGAAAGAGGAGGATGAGGAAGAAACAAGAAAATTATAGGGAAGAAAAAAGTACAACAACAGTATTAGCCAAATGCGTATATATATATATATATATATATATATATATATAGTTTACCAGAGGAATGAAAAAAACTGGATTGTTTTTCTAAGAGGATATTTCTTTCCATGAAATGAAATACTTTATTTCTAAAAGATTGCAATAAAAATACTATTACTGACCCAAGTTGTGCAAGTAGATTGCTGGACTAGACACAATATACTATCAGTTTTCAACAACCCTATCGAAATGACATCTCAGGTAATATATACCAAGTGCAAATTTGTGTTTGGTTTGAAGTTCATTATCTTGTTTGTGTGAGGGTTACTGATAGATAATACTAACCGTTTGTTGAGATCAGTGTGAATTAGGATCGGAAACTACAGCCTACTGATTAACAATAAAGTGATGTGATATCTGACAGAGAGACTTCAAAAAAATCTACATATTAATATACCAATACAAGCAGCAAATTATTTTCCATAGAGTAAAAGCAGGTTGACAAGCTAACGTGTGAAAAAGAACGATAAACCATAACACCTTACCAATCTGAAGTAGGAATATATTGGGATGATGACTTCACAGGTGCTGAAGACCGTAGAGAAGGATTCGCATAACTTTTCTTAGCTCCTGGTCGATTTACTATTGATGGAGACATTTCTGTAGGACTTGGGGAGGATGCTATCACAAAAAAATAAAACAGATCAGTTTTACATCACAACACTCAATATGTAGTAAGAAAAATCTTTTTTAAATCACTAGGTCTGATGAGTGAAAATGTAAAATGTAGGATACTGGTTTTGCAAGTTACAAAGGTGCTTCTATGAACCAACCACAAATAAGGTGGTCTCAAACAGTGGTATGCATTGCATTAAAAATAGCTTTCGGTACACTTGTTGACACCATATCTGAATGATGCACAGATTCAATATACCATTTAGGATGATCAGCGTCTAACATTCACAAGTTTCAAATTCAATTATCTATAAGAAATAATGTATACTAATTGTCTAGTAACGCAATAAAATATATACATTAAAAAAACAACTTTCCTCTTCATGTTCTATAATATCAACTACAGTATTTGTGAGCATATAAGTAAATGTAACTTTAAACATATCAGTAAACATTCCTTACTTGAACAAGGGAAGATTGATTCCGATGTTCTAGTTGTCTCCAAATCTGAATATGTAGTTGAAATATTTGGTTCAGAATTGATAGTGGGCTTTGTACATAAACAAGAATCATCTCCATCAGATAATACAGGTGAAGGGACATTTAAATTGGAGATTGTAAGCGTGGAAACTACCGGAACATAAGAACTTTCAGTTATCCCCATTCCAACATACGGTTGTGGAGAACAATGCATTCGGATCAAACTTGAAGGACTGTACACAGCCGAACCAGCTGGAGCTCGAGTAACAATATTACCCGGTCCCAAACGAACTATATCTGTAGCTGCTATACTCGATGTAACATTTGTAGAAGATAAAGGTGGGGTATTCGTTGGACTAGGAACATCTGAACATGAAAAAAAAGAACCCGATGGTGAATGAGATGATACAGTATGTTTTACGTTTGTGGGAGAAGTACAAGCAGATACCGACTGATAGGGCTTGGCTGAAGCAATACTTTTTTCAACCGGGTTCGAATCCGAATTTTCTGATACAAGATTTGGTGAACCAGTTGCAAATACAAGTCCACCAACACGAGTCATCTGAGCAGCAAGCGAAACACGACCACCACTATTAAGATGAGACGTTGGTGGGTTATCACGAGATGTGGAGCGCTGCGATAAATGAGGATTGCAATGAGCCGTTCGAGTAGGAGAAACAGTAACATGTGACCGGTCATGTGCTGCAGTTGTGGCAGGACTTCGAACAAGGTTAACAGATTGGCTAGAGCTATAGTATACAGGTCTTCTAGTCCCTCGGGGAGAAATACGACAAACGTGAGGGTGTGGCGACGTAGGATGCGTAGTTGAGAAATTCGTATTCCTTGAGTGTAGAGAGTTGTGTTTAGGATCTGACACCAAACGTTTATGATTAAAGCTGGTGGCCGATTGATGTAAATGATGTCCAAGTTGATTAGTTTCTGAACATCCAATTTGAAGCAACTGATCAGTTGTCAGTCCACCATCGATAGCCAGCCTTGCAACTGCACCTAAATGAGACCCGCAAGAACCGATAACAGGAGAATAAGCAGAAGTGTGTTTGGGTTTGTAATTTATCTGTGGGTTAGGTTTTTCAAGAGAACTGTTCTTTAGATTAAAATTGCGTTGTGATCTCGTAGTATCTGGAGATGAACGATATGCCTGTCTATGTATTATTCGCAAATTCTCATGTTCTGATTTGTCTGGTGGGAGTGCATCAGCTAAAAATAAAGACAAATGATGCATTAAAGATTACAACAGAATTACAGAAGCGTTTAGGTAAATAAGAGCAACTTACACATTACGATGATTAATTCCGTATGAATCAACTCAAAATGGACAAGAAAAGGGTTTACAAAAGAAACTAATTTGTGAAACGTGACAATATCACTAAAAAGACAGGTTAACAACAAACATTTAGTGCACAGAAATACAAAGGTGAAACATCTTGAAGAACACTTCAGATGGCTTAAGGTTACGCAATATTCCTAGCAATCGAAAACAGTTTCAATAAAAGATTAAAATAGAAGCTTCTATACCAAACAAAACTTAGATGTGACTAAGCTAAAGTAAAGTATGTTCTGAAATCTACAAGGAAGATTTAAAGCCAATAATAACATCGAATGAAATATTTACTCACAGTATAGAATATTGAGGAGAGATCAAAAACGAGATTGTGAATTAGTTCAATAAGATATAGGCTGAGTACAACAAATGCAGATGAAGAAGAGTTAAGCAGCAGCCTCTCAAGCAGTAGTTCTCAACATACACAACAGAAAAAGCAAAATCCTTAGATACAACACAACATGCACAAACCAAATCGCACTTGACTGAGAAGCTTTGAAGATGTCGAAACGTATATATAAGTGGGTAGCTTAATTGATCAACAAGCTGGATCTAGTGCAGATATGAAGGCGTGGATTGGCAAAACAAGAGCAACACTTCCACAATCTGAAACATCCGAAACTCAAAACAACTGTTAACCAACACCAAAGTCAGAATTTTCAATACTAACATCAAGACAGCACTCTTGTACGGAAAAGAAAGTTGGAGAATTATGGAAGCCATCATCGAAAAGATACAGTTGTCTATGTAAGATTCTATGGATCCATAGGCCACACACCGTCAGCAGGAACCTACTGTGGGGGAGAATAAACCAGATTCCAGATGAGCAACAAATTAGAAACCCACGAGGCCGAGGTAAAAGTGGTATATCAAGAAACACACTGCGCGAAATCTAAGAGACAGACATAAAGAAAATTAACAACAATTGGTTGGAAATGGAAAGGAAAGCCCAGGACAGAGTATGTTACAGAATGCTAGTTTGCGGCCTACGCTCCTTCAGGGGTAACAGGCGCAATTACGTAACAACATTTGATTGCATTCTGAGAATTTCAGTTATGGATTCATTTAAAATAACAATTGATCGGTACGTTATTCGTTGCAACTTCAATAATTTAAGTATAATACAAGTGTAATATGATGTTTTGAGAATCTACATTTTGTATTGTTTCGCATGCGTTGCATAGTATTTCGTCTTTATATTGTCAAGTAAAATAACTAAGGTGTAACTAGTATCTACGGATATATGAAAGTGCCTACATATCGTGTTTACCAAGGGTGCAGAAAAACGGGAGTCTCCATCAGTTATCAATGAAACGCTACGGATGTAATGTAATAGAATGAGTAAAGAAGAATCAAACATAGAATATACGGTGCTGTTGATAATCACAAACAGTTATTTGATTGTGAACATGTGAACGACGAAATACAAACGTAGAACAAATTAACAGGATTAACAAAATTACATAATAGTTTATATTTGTACTGTACCGAATTTCTAAGGAGTTCCTGACGGATATAACCAAAGAAACAAGCCATTTAACCAAGCAACTGTAATGTAGTTACTTGAAAGCGCATGAAACCCTTGTGAACAGTGTGATACAATTCTAGAGAGGTGAAACTAACAGTATGCAATGTAAAACCGGATGATGACACAAATATGCCTAGGTATTGGGCACAAAAACATCAACCTATAACTCCAAATATCCGACAGTAGCTGCTACCTTAACGTGGTAGTCGAACTTGCCAATCGTGATGACCCAACCGAGCTCTATAAGCTGGAACATATGTTCCTGTCGGTTCTACCATGCCAGGCTGGTCAGTTGGAGGACGGTAAGACTAAAATCCGCAACTCAAGGTCTGAGGGTGAAGTCGTACTGCTGTCTGTTGAGAGGTGTGATGGCAGTAAGGTGTTTCCCTCGGATAACCAGCATTTGCTGCAACCATGCTGCCTTTTCACAACGGAAGGAAGGGGTTAGAAAAGGTCAAACCTAGAAATGTCACATCTCACCTTACCCTTCGGATATCGATCTCCGGCAGTACGGCCTTTTTAAAAGCATAGCTGATGCGTTAAAGACTGCCTATAGAAGGGCCTTGCGCGATCGGTCTGTTGGGCGCTGAGGTCACGCTCCCAGGTCACTAAAACCAACGCGAACCCAACTTTTTGACGGGTCTCTCAAGAAACACGCTTTCACGTTGTTGGTACCCAGGGATCAACATCCGTCCCCATACTTCAAACAGCACACGAGATCATCTCGTTCACAGTTGGAAATTCACCCCACCTCTTCATAACTCTTATGTCTCTACGACTGACCCTTCTCGTATATCCTTATCAACTCGTGCCGCTGATGCAAACGATTCGAGTATACGAAACGTTCCTCCTGGTCTCTTGGAACCGCGCCCTCAACTATATGTTGGGGCTCTTAAAGTAAGCACCTAGTGCCAAATAAGACGACAGGATTCCTTAACTAGGACTCAAGAATCTTGTGCCATTGATGAATCCTGCGTCTCCAAATGCGCATCCAAATATAGTCATTAATTTTAGCTCACTTCATTAAGATAAAGAACCATCTCTCTTTACGCTCCACGTACCTGGAAACCACACTGCCATTTCCGATGGCTTCGCCGGAAAACTATGTACACACACCACTGACTGCAGTTCAGACGAGGTAGAAAATGAGTTTTACAGAAACCTTTCTAACCTTCAAAAAGCTGAGCTCTTTGATATAGAAATAGTGGCTGGTGACTTTAATGCTCAAGTAGGCAGCCTAAGTGGAACGAAAAGACACCTGGGTGGATCTTATGGTGTCGCGGCTGATCGAACAGATAATTGCGACTGTCTGCTGCAGCTATGCTCAGATAAGCACCAGTGCAAATAGAGGATATTCGTAGATTACTAGCACTCGATCATCGATGTCTTCGAAGCATTGTTCGTATATCCTGGGAAGATCAAGTAAGCAACGCTGGTGTTAGGAAAAGGGTACTAGGTAAAGACGGCAGATCAATAAATAAAGTAGTGAATCATAATCAGTTCAGGTGATTGGGTGGGTTGGAAGAAAGATAGGGTCGGCAAAACCAAGAAATGGTACACATTCATGAAGTCACTCATTACTTCACTGAGTTGGGGCCGCCGAGACAACCGTATACCGTAGTTAGACTTTCAATAACATGGACTAAAATCGCTAGATATGACACAGTTACATCCATTGTTTTGTATTATCTCAAATTCCTCATGACCTTTATCTGTCTCTTTTCAAATTTATTTCACCAAGTTATTCTTTTAGATTTATATCTTCGAACCCTAACCTCTTCCATTAATGCTAATACTTCTACTACCTCTACTACAATGGGATTTGAACTGACAATTCCATCTGTCTATGCTAATGTCGTATGGCAACTCGTTGTAGCTGTCTGACTTACTAACAGATAGGAAACTGGGAGTGGTAAATTAACGAGACCTAAGTAACTAGTGGAATTAAAATGAATAGAAGTTTACAGAGAAAGAACTCATAAATCAACTTTTCGGCAACCCTTAGAACTATACCATTGAAAGCTGCAGAACACTTGTTTGATTTGAGAAACATTGTTTTTTAGACAGTATATATATATATATATATATATATATATATATATATGTTAAAATAATTTACCTGTATTAATTGTTTGACAAATAGTTTTGTTACCAACTTCCACTGTGAAAGAACAACATATTTCACCTCCATTCTCTATTACTTTCAGTCTCAATTCACCGGAACTAAAATGTAAAGAGATGGAATATAAACCAAAACAATTATTTTAGTCAAAAATACCGAAAAGATATGAGCTAGAAGTAAATAAAATACATATATCCAACAGGTGTTTGTATTTATGTGATAGATTGTAAATCATCAATTCAAAACCAGTTTTAACTACCAATGCTGCCTTCTCACCATGGAAGGAAGCAGTTGGAAAAGGTCGACCCTAGAAATGTCACATCTCACCTTACGCTTCGGATATCCGTCAGTCAGTCAGTTACAATGCAGAACTTCGTATATAAGCGTGAAAGCGTGTTTCTTGAGAGACCCGTCAAAAAGTTGGGTTCGCGTTGGTTTTAGTCACCTGGGAGCGTGACCTCAGCGCCCAACAGACAACTGCTTAAGGCCGATCGCGCAAGGCCCTTCTATAGGCAGTCTTTAACGCATCAGCTATGCTTTTAAAAAGGCCGTACTGCCGGAGATCAATATTTGAAGGGTAAGGTGAGATGTGACATTTCTAGGTTTGACCTTTTCTAACCCCTTCCTTCCGTTGTGAAAAGGCAGCATGGTTGCAGCAAATGCTGGTTATCCGAGGGAAACACCTTACTGCCATCACACCTCTCAACAGACAGCAGTACGACTTCACCCTCAGACCTTGAGTTGCGGATTTTAGTCTTACCGTCCTCCAACTGACCAGCCTGGCATGGTAGAACCGACAGGAACATATGTTCCAGCTTATAGAGCTCGGTTGGGTCATCACGATTGGCAAGTTCGACTACCACGTTAAGGTAGCAGCTATGTTCGGGAAATTATTTCAGGACGTTAGAATACTCTCCAAATGCTAGACGTTCACACACAATACCACTTTCATGGCGTCAAGCCGTTGCAGCCAGCTTTTATCTACGATCAAATGTAGTTCCGTTTGATTTCTAGTTGCTTCAAAATTTGCAACCAATTCACCAACATCGATCCACTTATGGTGATGAGTTTGTTGGCCACTGAAACGTAGGATAAAATTAACGCATGATCAGTGTAAAAGTAAGCACTCCAGAACAAGCCGCAGTCTTGTACACAACCATGCTAGCGTTAACTGATTCCAATCTGAATCCAGGTTTGAGAAACAGGAGGATGCCAGAAAGCACATCACGATAACTGTATCGAACTAACTGTATAGAACTAACCAGAAACTGGATGTGATTTGCGCAAAGTTGCAGTAGACGGTCACTGTTATCTGACCTGTGACCACCAAGTCCCCACTGGCAACCCAGATTCAGAATTCGTATTTGATGGTAACATCCATCTTTCGAACAATCAGTGACTTTAGATCGCTTAGATAGGACATTTCCACCCTAGGTGAGCAGCTGTATGAGTTGAAGGATAAGCAGTACGTAATCTTGTAAATTCCTCATCACTTCTATCTTTCTCTTTTTGGCTGTAATCCACTGGATTATACTTCTTGGATAATGTCTTCGAACACTAATCTTCTCCATTACCGCTAATACTTCTACTACATCGAACACTATGGGATTTGAATTGACAGCTGCATCTCTGTGCTAATGTGGTACGGCAACTTGAGCTAATGTACGTACATACAAAGTACTAGGGTGTAGCTGACCGAGTGAAAATGGGAATAGAAGAATAGACAGGTGACGCAATACAAAATAAAAGTGGATGTTACCAACTAACTATGAATATAATTTGTGATAATGAGAATCAAAGAGAGAACAATTTATTTAGCTGTAGTCATCATCTAGCTCTTGGTTGGGCTGGGATACTGCCCGGACTCCCAAACCGAAGCAGATGGTTCCCTTAGGAGGCCACCCCCAAGCCCATGACCTATATGTCCGACAGACAAAGCAGTGACGCAATGTTAAGACATGCAGTCCCATAGTTACAGGTGACCAACAATAGGTTCATATGCCATTTTTTCTTTAACGATCCTGGAACCCAAGTGAACCATTGATTTGGAACCAGTGTTTTCCATACTCCCCTAGGTGGATCATTCGTTGAAGCGCCAAATATTCGCTTTTTTCCTCTCGTTTCAGTATAAAACAACCCCTACACAAGGCAATGAGTCGGACTTTCTTGACGGTAGCCATATACACTTAGGTATATGAGAATATGTAGAAGGGAAAGGAGAACTAGTCCTACTCACGGCTGTAGCATGGTATTTAAAGGCTACTTTTCTTACTCTGGGATTCGGTATGACAATTTTAACTGTCACTGTTAATGAGGTATGGCAACCTCATGTACGCATGTACGTGCCAGATTTTACGTCACGACTGGCTAAATGACTGATGTGAACATATTCCAGATTGATTCGAATAAAAGAAAGAGGAAAACAGTTTTATCCTTGAACACCGAATTGACTGTAATCACGAGACAAATCCACATGTTGATTTTAAACTGCATTGTCGCAATAGCCAAGCCCAATTGTTGTTATGACATAGCTGCTATAGTCGGGTTAGAGTTTTAGTGGAAAATTTCAGAAGTATTGCTCAGTCACTTTCATTCTAAACACCCGAAAACTAAAATGCATGGACACCCGGGGATATGCCATAACGGAAACGACGATCGCAACTATTTTGTTGTACACAAACTGTTCTTCGGTCTAACTGATATCAGTACATGAGCATATTTTATAAATGGTGAAATTGTAATATAATAGCCATTTACGTAACCAGACAGTTAATAATTATGTGCACAATAGTTGCTGCGAGATATAGATTCTAAAGTTTACCACAAGTCAGGAAACCCATATTGATCATTAGTTCAGTCCCGATCAGACATTTCATGTTATGAGCGAACGTTTTTACTAGTATGTGACTGAGCTTCAATATTTCGAGTACACTGACTCATAATAACTAAGACTATTATTAAAATAAGAAAAATTTAGTCAACATTTCAAAACAAAACACTGAAGACAAATATTCGAAAAATTTTTTGAGGAAAGCAGTTCAGATAAACCGTATTGTGTAACTAGAAACAAGGAGGTTATAGTTCATTTGATCTAACATAATTATCCAATCTCATGACAAAGCCCAATAGGCACTGAGTTCTAACAGTTAGACTGACACAAAAACAGTATAAATTAATTGATCGAACAAATATAATTATGAAACAGTACCTGGTAGAGTCATTAATCAAGGCCTGCAATTCATCGAGTTTTAATCCACTAACAGGAATCCTGCCAACAGAAGTTACGAGATCCCCTACTTTTAATCCGGCTGATAACATAGAATTAGATGGAGACACTGCAATTACGCGACTGTATTGAGAAACGACATCTGGAAAAACCAGTGTGAAAAGGCGTCATGTAAAAATCGTTATTGAGATAAACCGAGAAATTTTGAATATTTGGGTTGATTAAAGTAAATAAAATTTAAATCGCTATTCCGCAAGTCAGCTAGTGTCGGTGACTGGTTTTCTGAATGCAGTAAATCAGAGAAACTTGTTGAAATTGATTTCTCTCCAAGTCGTTTCCCGTACGAAATGGGAAATAGTTAGCCAGAATTGCTGAACTGTGTTAAAGCTTTTAATTTATATCTAGTAAGATCAAGTTCAAGCAATGGTTACACTATACCGAGCAATATTTACTTTCTGAGAGAATAGTTTATAAGTTCCAGAATGAGAAAACACGGAGAATGACTACTTAAATGAAAATCAGACCTTATTTTTATTCGAAGTCAGGGCTACAAATACGCTAAACTAAACTAACCGGTGTTACCACAAAAGGTCCCACTCTTAGGTGAAGTTTTCATTTTAGCGTGTGAACTAAGATGGCGATATAACATGATTTACAAAATTCGTCTTCTTATTATTTCTGGGTCAAGTGAATCACCGATCTATTATTCAGAGAAATCTTAACTTCACACATGCCGATGAAAGATAACAGTTATAGTTCTGTATTTCGCAAACAGTAGTTATGAATCATCTAAACGTCAATACTTAGTAAACATGCCTCAAATTAGTGAATGAAATGTACAAGGCTGACAAAACTTTGGAATGTATTTCGCAAAAATAGCTTAAACATAACCAATAATGATATAGCTCTGAATATAGTGCGAACTGAAATTTAATCAAAATCCTTCACATCAAACAAAACTGACCAGACAAGCATTCTTACATTCCAGACAGACATACCTGGTTTTTCTAGAACAAACTCTCCATCCTCAACAACTACCTTCAAAGCAGATTCTCCCATAATCCAAATGAAAAAAGTTCAAAATAATCTACACCATTTCGACGAAGGACCACACTGATGAATCACCACTCAAATCGCTAGAACGGAACTCTCTGAAAATCATGGTCTTAATACGTTTTAAATACAGAATTAAAATAGAGGTATCCACTCATGCATTGTAATTTCGTTTGTTGGGCTGATACACCATACGGAACTTAGTATAATACATAAAAATCATAGTTCCAAACTCATAAGATTGTTCATTAAATTACACCTAAATTATGTAGATCAAAAGACTCATATGTTAGGCATGTAGGTTTAGAGAGAGTTCACGGACTGAAATCCAAAATAGTCATCGAAACATCCGCAAGGAATAGACTCAAATCGTGCGCCCTCCCATGATGCAGGTTTTACGTGGTGAAACTGACTTCCAATATATCCAATTTCTTTTTCACGGGCTAGTATAAACCAACCGATCTCTTTGCTCTCGGTTCTCGTTCTTTTGGTACGGTTCAAGGTGTTCAGCAGTGTGGAATGGATGGGGGTCTCGCCATTTGACTACCTAATTCTAGTCATATAGAATTTGTTTGTGAGTTCGTATGTCCCGTGATTTGAATGAATACGTTTGTTTCAGAGCAGTAGGGTCTCCGAATACCAATGGCTACCACTCTGTCTGGCCGGAGATCAATCAGTTGCAGTGTATAGAATAATAAAGAGAATAGTCTAATGTTAATAAAATTTCAAAGCTAAATAAATGAATAGATAATTTAGTTTATTAATTAGTTGTGAAAATTGTTCAAGAGGACTGAAGTGTTAACGAGAGAGAGGAAACAGAGATAATAAGCGAAGCAGATTAAGTTAGCGATCTTAGATGGCAATAATAACAACTAGCATCAGGCACTGTGTCTTCAACAAACTGGTCATCGGTGGCACAATATTCTCACACAAACGCATTCACAAAGCCACATGGATTTCACCGGACCACACTACTCAAAACCAAATCGACCATATATGCATCAACAAAACGTTCAGAAAAACTATGCAGGATGTGAGAATCAAGAGAGGAGCTGATATAGAATCAGATCACCACTTGATGGTCGTCAAAATTAGACTGAAACTAAAGAAGCACTGGACAACGGGACAGACAACATCACAGAAGTTTAATACAGCCTTTCTTCAGGATACCGTAAAACTCAACGAATTCAAGATAGCCCTCACCAATAGGTTCCAGGCCTTTCAGGATCTATTCAATGGAGAGGAAGCAACATTGGAGAACAATTGGAAAGGGATTAAGGAGGTAATCACTTCGACATGTCAGGAGGTTCTGGATCACAATAAACACCATCACAAGGAATGGATCTCTGTTGATACTCTTGCAAAAATTGAAGAAAGGAGGAACAAGAAGGCAGCAATCAATGTCGGCCAAACAAGATAAGGGAAAGTTACCACACAAGCTGCATACACAGAAGAAAACAGGCAAGTGAAGAAGAGCATCAGAGCTGACAAACGAAAATATGTGGAATATCTAGCAATGACGGCGCAAAAGGCTGCAAGATAAGGAAACTTGAGACAATCGTACGAAACAACAAAGAAGCTCGCCGGAAACTATCGTAAACCAGAACGACCAGTGAAAAACAAGGAAGACAAAGTAATCAGCAACACTGAAGAACAGCGAAATAGGTTGGGTGAGCACTTTCTGTAACTCTTGAATTGACCAGATCCACTTAACACAACCAACATCGAAGCAGCATTTAAGGACTTCCTAATTATTATTGGCGCACCAACGATTGAGGAGACCAGTATGGCCATCAGACAATTCAAGAGCGGCAAAGCAGCATGACCAGACAACATTCCAGCAGAGGCAATGAAAGCAGACGTGGAAGCAACTGCGAAAATATTTCACATCCTCTTCAAGAAGATTTGGGATGAGGAACAAGTACCATCAGATTGGAAAGAAGGATACCTGATCAAAATACCAAAGAAAGGCGATCTGAGCAAGTGTGAGAACTACAGAGGCATCACTCTTCTTTCAATACCAGGCATAGTCTTCTACAGAGTGTCGCTAAACAGGATGAAGGACTTCGTAGACGCCCAACTTCGAGATCAACAGGCTGGATTTCGTAAGGATCGTTTGTGTACAGACCAAATTGCTACATTACGGATCACTGTGGAACAATCAATTGAATGGGACTCACCACTCTACATCAAATTCATCGACTACGAGAAAGCATTCGATAGTGTGGATAGGAAAAAACTGTGGAGGCTTCTTCGACACCACGGTGTGCCTGAGAAGATATTTAACAGCATACGGAATTCTTATGATGGATTCAACTGCAAAATCGTACACGATGGACAGCTAACAGACTGTTTCGAGGTGAAGACTGTTGTCAGGCAAGGTTGCTTACCCTCACCCTTTCTCTTTCTCCTGGTGATCGACTGGATTATGAAGACTTCGACGTCTGGAGGGAAGCACGGTATCAACTGGACAGTTAGGGCGCAGCTGGACGATCTGGACTTCGCAAATGACCTGGCTCTTCTATCTCACACGCAACAACAAATGCAAGAGAAGACGACCAGTGTAGCAGCAGCCTCTGCAGCAGTAGGTCTCAACATACATAAAGGAAAAAGCGAAATTCTCCGATGCAACACAACATGCACCAACCAAATCACTCTTGATGGAGATGCCTTGGAGGACATTAACACCTTTACATATCTGGGTAGCATGATCGACGATAAAGGTGGATCGGATGCAGATGTGAGGGCGCGGATTGGCAAAGCGAGGGCTGCATTTCTACAGTTGGAAAATATCTGAAACTCCAAACAACTTTCAACCAAAACCAAAATCAGGATTTTCAATACAAATTTCAAGACAGTTCTGCTGTATGGAGCGGAAACATGGAGAACTACCAAAGCCAGCATCCAGAAGATACAAGTGTTTATTAACAGTTGTTGGCCAGACACTATCAGCAATAACTTACTTTGGGAGAGAACATACCAGATTCCAGTGGAGGAGGAAATCAGGAAGCGGTGGAAGTGGATAGGACACACATTACGAAAAGCACCAAACTGTGTCACGAGACAAGCCCTCACATGGAACCCTCAAGGCAAAAGGGAAAGCGGAAGGCCAAAGAATACAATACGCCGAGAAATAGAGAAAGATATGAGAGGAATGAACAAACATTGGACAGAACTGGAGAAGGAAGCCCAGGACAGAGTCGGTTGAGGTGACCCTCAGTCAGAAAACGTGTGTATAATCCTAAGCGTTCGCTCTTTGATGTTCAATTTTTAGAGAATTACCTCGGGGCTGATGTATTGGTAAGATGCCCACGTAGGGATCATATCACTTCTGATGCTCCTGTAACTCAGGGAGGATAATCCTAAGTGCTGAAGTCTATCTTCGTAGGTTTTATTCTCCAACCCTATCACCCATTTCATCGCTCGCCTCTGCAGTTGATCGAAAAGATTTATGCCTCTTTTGAGGAGAAGCGCTGCGGCGACGTTGTGAAAATCAATGTGTTAGGGCGCATATGTCTTAGACGTTACGAATAATCCAGAGGTTGAAGCTTAATATTGACTTTCCATAAAGTGAAGATTTGCATTGGAAACGGCTGCGTCCCCCATATAGTTCGAACTGTTGTCGAGGCATTCAGTGGTTGCTATACGAAGATCGCGCTCTCGGGAAACATTAGCAGAGGGAATTTCAGTGAGGGTGTAAAACCTATACGTCATGTAGGGCAGAATATACATGATGTGACATTTCAGTTTTAAACCGTTTTTCACTGCCCATTGCTCAATGGATTTAGGTCCTTTCGAAGCCTAGTCGAGTCTTCTTCGTTCCTAATGGACCTCAAGATCTTTGTTTCGTCTGCGTAAATTCATGCCACCGAGCTAACCTTGTCTAACAGTTCGTCAAAAAATATCAGGACGAGAAGTTTACCTAAGATTGCCCCCTGTAAAACTCCCGATGTTGAGACTCACCAACTCGCGTGCACTCTATTTACCCTGGTACGAAACTTTCTATTCTCACGACAGTTTCTGAGCCAAGATACGAGTGGGTCAGTGAAGCCCATTTCCGCAACCTTGAAGATTAGACGTGCGTGGGTAGCTGTGTCGAAGGCTTTAGCAAAGCCGAGAAATATTATGTGCTTCGGTAATTTTCGGTCCAAGCAGTATGTCCAACTGTTCCACTCTATGGGTAGGTTGGATACGCACGACCTGCCTTTCCGAAACCCATGTCAAGCTTCATGGGGGATGAGAGTTGATGTGAATCCAGTGAATGCCTGAATAGGTCACATATCCATGAGCTGAGGGCATATGTAAACCGCTTTAAGACTGTGGGACAAATATTGTCACACCCTGTTGAATTTTCTGGGCGTAAGGATTTTGCTTTACTTAGTACTAAGTCAGAAGTAATTTGGATTTTCTCGAAGCCATGAATTAAATCTCCAACTGTAATGGACATAATTAAATGATTACTGCTTTCTAAGTTCCTGGTTTTCTGACGTGGGTAAGATGTAATCTTTTAATAATCGAATTTTTAGCTCAAATAATCAACCTTCATTCCCAAGCAGACTGGATATGTATTTCAGAAGAGGGTTCTTGGTTACACAGATGGGTAGTTTTAGCTTCAGCCCCTCAAGAATTTCGAAGAATAAAAGGTTAAGTAACAGTATCAGAATAACAATAATTCCCTCTTAGAACCCTTAAAAGTAAAGTAAATGTGGAATGTTGATTTTAAATAAGAAATCACTATGACTCAAACTCATGTGACATTATTGGTCATTTTGCTGAATTCATTGAGCTTTTGTCTCGTGAACTTCTACGTCTGGTAACGATGCGGCACCGATTCTTACAGGTAGCGACCTAGGTTAGTAAAGCAAATAGAAATGAGAGAAGCGTTGAAAATTAGTGTGAAATAATGTTCTGAATCCTTATGAATTTATCAGGTATCCGCTTGAAGAAACCAAGCGATAGTACTTAAACCAAGTCATCTTGTAGAGAATTCCTAAGTTTTACTCTTC